GTGGTCAAAATCTATGCACTTCTTTGCTAGACGGCTGCTATTTTTCTGGAAGTCAGTTCAAGATAGCCTCAAGTCATCTACTTACAAGTGAGCAAGACAAAAACTGCAGATACCAGATCAGTGGCTGGGTTCTGTTCCTTTTTCAATTATTTCAAATCAGATTTTATCATAAAGACACGCCATCAGCCGAGTACTTACGACGTTTGCTGTAATGCAACACACCGCGTTATAGCACGAGTAAACACTGCCATCCGAAAACGTATGATGTCAGAAAACTCATAATAAAAATATCTTCCTTGATTTCATCTTTTTTGATTAAATCTAATCCCATTTTCATTCAACTGTTTACAGTAACACCACAGTGTTCACAAATAGTGTCTGACTCTGACCCTCTGAAAAATCTGGCAGATTCACCAACGGTCCGATAGAAATAGAAGTCCACGAAATAGCAGCTCTGTCATGTCCATGGAAAATACGATTTTACTTGGCCTTTATTTCATTTTATGCATAACGTTGGTGTCTCATAGCGTAGGGTGTCAGCGTTGTGGCGAGGGATGACTGCAACTATGGGTATGGATCTAGTGGCTTTCCGATCACTGTTGTTAAGCCTTATGTTTGTTGTTGCAACCACAACACAAACATCTGAGCTCATCTCATTACAAGCTATATCACAACAATGAACATTTAACGGCCAATAAAAAGAGAAAGCAGCACTCTCCAGCTAAAACATATTTGTTTCAAAAAGGAGAATTACATTTCTGAGTGAACTTTGAAAGATATTTTGAATGAATCTAGAAAACTGAATTAAACAAAATTATGGAATGTGCCAAGATTGTGTAGCAGTACTTTCCAAGGACCGTGGAAAGTCTCTAAATGTTTAACCGACTGAAACGAGAGATAGACAATGATTTAAATAGCTATACCACAGCCCCCAACTAATTCACTAGATTTGGCTAATTACCCTGGAATATTTTCTTTATTCGTATACTACAGAAAAACTATTGAATCTTTTTCAGTTATTTCTTCTGATATGATTAGACAACACATTAAAGTAAATAATATCAAGAAATGGTGTTTGTTGTTTGTTCAGTTAATTAGTGACAGCGAGGTGAATGTCAGCTTTGTCAATCCGTCAAAGGTCCCGTCCCGTGGACCGTTTGATGGCAGTGCCCAGTTTCGTTGGGGTATTTTCAAAGCACCTTGGTGTTGCTGTTTTGAGTTGAAATGTCATAACAATTGGTGGACAGTAAGATCAGAAGATGGTCTTTCATGTGGTATAATTTATGTTTCGACGAATGAAGCGGAACGGTGTAGAATTGGCGTTTGAAAAACTCCCCCATTTTCAAGTACTCGCCATTTGCAAGGTAAGTCCGTTTTCAATCTGTAACATCGCGTAGCATAAAGAGCAATATTTCCCCTTTATTTTGATGTATATATCAACAATATTAAAATTGTGTAAAACGGCGTGAGATCGCGTAATATGAAACTAGTGCCGTTCAAAACATGCCATTTTCACTGCCCTGAGCCCGACCTGCTAGCACTAACAGCAGCGCTCAGCAGTCTGTAGATCACTAACGGTTTCGGCTACTGTCTCACAATCACAATGTCAAACAGTTAATGCATAGCGAATTATCAGAATAGTGACTTATGAAAGCTGAAATTAATCTTTATGAAAATAATTCACGCGTAATATTTCATTCCGAGAAACAGTTCCTATGCACTACACGTATTTACCCTCGGCTCGATCGACAGTTCAGATTGTGCTGATTTTGGTTCGGTCTGTAAACAGCATGATATACCCTATGGATGGTGTAGTTTACAGAAAATGGATACATATATATATTGTTTCGCTAAGAGTCATATTTATTGTAGCTGGACGCTAACATGTCAACAAACTGTTTTCGAAGTTGAAATAGCGAGATCGCGCGAAACGTCATCGGTGACAGGTCAGGACATGTTCCTTGCGTAAAAAACTATCCGGCATAACACCAAACTGATGCCGCATAACCTTAGTTATGATTATAAATATTTTACAATTATGCAAAAGAACCTGTAATTAAAATGGCACAATTATTTCTGTTGGTAAAATAATGGTTTTAGATACTACATTCCTCAGATCACTGCATAAGAATTTGTCCCGTTGTATTATTGGGTATGTTTTAACTGAATCACCGGTAGATCGCCGGAGAGGTGTGCATAGCTGATTGCTATTTCCCGGCTTTGTGTAAGAGACAAATACGCACGGTAATCTTAATCCCTGCATATAATACAGTGCCTAGCATAAACAAATTAGGACTGAAATGGTAGATAATCTTGTCTTGTGATCTTTAATTGCAAATTTGACATGTGCACTGACATGGTTAGATTGTTTTGATAACGCGTGCTTTTTAGTAGGGTCGCGGGGTAATGTCAATCAAAGTGTAACAACACTAACGATGTACAGGCGACACACCCATATGTTTATTCTAAGTAACGGTTCTGTTTTATTGTCTATTACCCAATCATCAATGATCAATGTTATTTCGAATTTCCGGTAATTTGGTGTGATTTTTAGATTGCCTGGAAAATAAACCTAAAACAATGGACATCACTTACACATACTGACATTCACACTGAACTTTATCAACATACCCACAGTAAGTTTATTTCAATTTTTTAGATGTTACTGTACGTAACATTAATATCTTTAAAAAGAAATCAATATTGAAGGGACCCCTAATGTAGGGGCGATGATTTTATCTGCATTTAGTACATTCCTTTGCACAGAAATTATTTATTTATTGGTTGATTTTAAAAGTACATTTGTCAGTGTAAGTTCTGAAAAGTTCATAACATTCAGCAGATTTTTCAGCTGGTGAAACACAGGTAAACTGAAATTCCATGAATACAAGTAATACTTATTGCAACTGAACATCTGCAAAGTAAAAACAAAACAGTAACAAAATATATTCATGCAAAAAAACTAAAATATATTTTATATTTCTTTATTTTGTGACATTGCAGGTATTGGGCTGTATAATCCTGTGAGGAAGTGTCAAGTCCAGTGAAGAAAGTAACTTTCTAACAGACAATATTGTGAACATTGTTATTCCTTTATTGTATTCAAGCTGAGACACACAATTCTGTGTGATGCATTTGATTTTTGTGTGGACAATGAAATTTCTACTTACGTCAGTCAAAACAATTCATTTAAATGTTCATATGTTTTGACTGTGATATTGCTCTCTGTCAAGTTTACATTGGTCATGTTTAATGAGTACATCAAGAATAAAAATGTGTGAAAAGTATGAGTGTGTTTGTTGTTTATGTAATGGTATTTAGGAGTGATCTTTGTATGAATTCCTGGGTTTACTTCCCATGGAGTCATGGTCCATATTACTCGGGCACTCACTAGTCATTCAATTTTTTGCTTGAATCTTTGGAATAACTCTTAATCCATGAGATTTATGTGAATTCTGATGCCACAAATAAAATCAGGGGTATCCAATTACCCCATGTACCAAATTTTGTTTAAATACACAAAAAAACAGCAATGTTGTGGGAGAATTAAGATATTTTGGGTGAAAACGGCGGTCCGCGAGTTTCATGTATTACAAGTACAAAATCGATCTAAACCTGGACCCCGAATTTTGACACTTTATTTGCCTCTAAAATATTTATTTATGGTCCGATTCTCGAAAGGAAAAGTGATCTGAAATCAGTAGAATGCCAGCTATCAGACAATGTTATTAAAAAATCATGTGGTATAGCTAATTTAAAACAATGACAATGATCAGTCACACAGACTGTAACTGTCTTATGACAAGTGTGATGTGTTAATTTGTTTAATTTATTTATCTATGATATGTCATCAACAGAATCACATTCGACAAAATCAGATTTGTGAATTTTTTTCAAACATGAACATTTCTGGGACATGGTGATTTCACTGCAGTAAATGTTGATGTGAAGTTAGTGACTTTTAATCATAGTTGGCTTCTTGCTATTTTGCCACACAGCTGTGAGCTCCTACTAGGTTCCAGTGATACTTTAGGTCTTCTATCTAGTCATGAAATCACAGTTTTGTTCATTCAAAATAACAAAGATTATGGCTATTTCTTTCCACGTTATTGAACAATGTAAGGTTTGGCTATTGTAAATTTTCAGCATTATAATCATATCTCATGTACCAAACCAAAACAGACCGAACCGAATGCCTTGTACTGCAATACTGACGTAAGAGCATACCATTTCACCCCTATTTCTCAATATCAACTTTTCAGCTGTACCCCTGGAAGTCGTTTTTAAATCTCAAGAAATTTTGAGGGGTAATGGAAGGTGGGTAACTTGGTCATGATGTAGTGTCATGTTTTGACTGTAAGAGACCAGATACTCTCAGGATCACAAAGCCACATGATTTCTTGGTAAAGAGAGCCAAAGTCGGTATTTTTGAGCCAATCACACTCACAGGTAGTCCAGCATATAACTAGACGACTTTGCACTATACCAAGGTAGGCCTTGCCTGGAATACGAGTTTATTCAAATGAACTAAGTCACAGGGGCTTAATTTAACGCAAAAAAACCTATCACTGAGGTATATATTATCCTTACCGGGGTCTAAACACTATATAAAAGGAAAGAGGTCAACATATACTCATCCTCGATAATGTCGGACATAATATTTTTGAATAATGGTTATGGGTGGAACCCATGAAATGTATTCTATTTACTAGGATTATTTCGAGGGTTTAGGGTTGTTGTTTTTCGTAAAAAGTATCTATTCTTATGCAAAGAATGATAAAAAATGGGGCTTACGGGCGGAAATCTTTCCGACGGATGTTGGTAGGGTGTCCGAAAACCCATAACGCGAGGATAATATTGTACTAAGACCCCGTCAGTGACAATATATACCATAATGCCGTTTTGTTTTGCGTTGCAAGCCCTTGTGGGGCCAATATCTAAATTGCAGAGTTGTCACATAATACATCATCCTCTTTTTCCTTTTGTTATTTATTAAATACCTGTGTTGGTGTCGGTATTCTTCTTGCCGTTGGTTGTGGGTGTTTTCCCTTTACCCGAATTTGGTGATCGACGGGGTGACAACACGTCTTTCTTTGATGTTTCGCTATTTGGAGCTTTGTTTGGCGTTTTGGAGAAGAACGAGAACAGATTTGATTGTTTTATGGACATTTTAAATGGTTACCGTCAGCATAAAATGTCAACACTCCATGCACATCTTCTCCCGCGTTTTTAAGAACACACTTCCGGTGAAATGTCGAAAAGATGAAGCAATCCCTAACAAGAACGAAAAGTGATTATGCTCACCTGTTGGTCGCGATCTTCATTACAGCTAGAGTTCCTAATGCTAATCCCACCTAAATTCATGAAATTAAAATAAATAACATTCCTTAATTTAATAAGAATGATATAGTCACGAGATGAAATAGGAATAGAGCACAGTACTGGGATTCGATCCACTATATGAAGATTGTAGGAAAAAAAGTCCGCCGGAAAAAAAAACTCGATAAAAAAGTACCGGAAAAAAGTACTGTTGTAATAAAAACGTGTTTATTCATCAACTTTGATGGTAATGTCATTAATTCCGTCCAAAGCCATAAACATTTAGGTCTTATACTTCAGCATGAATGCTCATGGAATCATGGATTATCTACGGCTATCGCCTCCCTGATGGAATGAACACATTAACGACTGTGCTAAAAACGTTTAAACCAAAAAACATTAGAAACCATGTACAAACAGTTCATATCACCAGTTTTTTAGTATTGCAGTCATATGTAAGTAATGTGTAAGCTGGGCCCGAAATCAGCTGGAGGGATAGTTCTATGGATATACAGCTTCTTTATTACGATTTAAACGACGTTCATATCGTAACAAAGACGTTGTATGTCCAACCCTCAAATAACACATGAGAGATACATTTACATAGAATACAATATAAATTACAAAATAGGAATTATAAATGATATAAATGATATCGTTGTCAATTGAAACTGTATTTCAATCAGTCTATTTGTGTGTGTTTCCCGCATGGCACCAGCATTATTTGTGTTGACAAAGCGTATCGAAGTCCTTGTGAATGTACGCTCTTTGGATTGGGTGCCAGTCAAATCGCCCCAGCTACAAAATGCCCCAGCAAATTTGGTCAAAATGCCCCGGATTGCATAACGTTTACGACTTTACACATTCTGGTGTTGACGGGCCTATCAAACGACACCGACCCTTGATTAATAGAGATCAAAGGCTACTATATCAATCAACCCTAGCCTCCTGAATAACACTCTACTCTCTGTGTATCACTGGCTTCCACTGGCCTCTATGTTTATCACTGTGATCGTCTGTTATCCCTTTATTCGTTATCATTACATTGTTAATTTCGCCTCAACCTTGTTATTAGTCTTCCGCCCACAAGACGGGCACCACAGAACAACTTGGAACACCACCCACAAGAAAGTACAATAGAACAACCAAGAACGCCACCTACAAGAGAGATTTACAGAACAACAAGAGACACCAACCAGAGTAGAGCCATTAAAAACACCACCGGTCTTCACGAGAGTACTCCATTAAAACTGAAAAGATTTTATCCTGAAAGACACATTGTCAAGATATTTTTATTCAAACTGTTGAAAAACAAGTCTGCCACTAAGGATACACTGTTACAAGAAGTTGATTCTTGTGTGTGAAGTGAGCAAGCGTGTCTATGAAATCTTTAGAAACACAGCGAAGCTCTGAATTCGCGAGCTGAGCTGAGCGCCATGGTGAGATCATGGGCCCAACTGAGCGCCACGGTGATATCTTGGAACCAGCTGAGAGTCATGATGAGATCTTGCAACCAGCTGAGCGCCATGGTGAGATCTTGCAACCAGCTGAGCGTCATCGTGAGATCTTGGAATTGGCTGAGCGCCATGGCGAGATGTTGGGCCCAACTGAGCGCCACAGTGATATGTTGGAACCAGCTGAGCGTCATGGTGAGATATTGGAGCCAGCTAAGCGTCACGGTGAGATATTGGAGCCAGCTAAGCGTCACGGTGAGATCTTGGAACCAACTGAGCGTCATGGTGAGATCTTGGAACCATCTGAGCACCATGGTGAGATGTTGGATCCAGTTGAGCGCCATGATGAAATCTTGAATCCAGCTGAGCACTCTAGTGAGATTTTGGATCCAGCCGAGCGACATGGCGAGATGTTGGATTCAGCTGAGCGACATGGTGAGGCTTTGGATCAGTAACAGTCAACCCAAATATGATATGCCCTTATTCTTTAAACAACACAGCTGCTGTTATCCCCTGCCAGTAGGGGTACAGCGAGTTTAGACCGAAATACTACACTTTGGTCCAGTTTGATTGCAAAAGCGAGTTGGCCGTCTTTCGGACGCGAGGTTCTTCTGTTAATCTTTACTTCCTGGACTCAAATCAAAAAGCCTCAGGCCCATAGTACACCATTTACATTGCCTTATACACGTTCAAGGAACAATACGCTTTCTATGTCCAAATGCGTTTAAAATAAACATTTACATATCTACCTTTCTCAATTAAAAGTTCATGAGATGAGCATCGGAATCGTGTTAAACTTACTCTATAGTGTTTTACATTTAAACATGATAGAATTCGGTATATATATTGTTTTTATTAGGTAGTGCCGCATTTGCTTGAGATAGATAATTTTTCTTGCTAGTTTTGAAAATGCATATCATGTCTTTGAGTGAATGATTTGATGAATTCCGGATATATTCCAATTTATCTCCAAATCCAGTAGAAAATAATATACTCTCCCAAAAAAGAAACGCATATAGGAATTTCAACTGTATTTTTATGTTTATTTTGAATCATCTTGAAGGCTTTATGAGTCAATGAAATATAGCGAAATTGCACACTGGGAATGCAGACTTATCCGTCTTTGGCACCAACTCGAGGAAAGTCAGTTTGAGTGTCACATGGAGACGTGTGGTGGCGCTGAAGTCAATACCTCGTGTGACCACTGTGGGCATCCAGAACTGCACGGCATCGCCTCGGCATCGAACGAATAAGTCTCAGAATCTCGTGTTGCCCAATCGCAGCCCACTCTGCCTGTAGTGCCTGTACGAGTTGCTGAAGTGTCTGGGGCTGAGGGTTGCGACGTGGCACCCGTCTGTCCAGGGCATCCCACATATGTTCGCTTGGGTTTAAGTCCGGTGATCTTGAGGGCCAGGGGAGCCCATTGATGTTGTGGTTCTGGAGGAAGTCTCTAGTGTGACGTGCAGTGTGGGGCCTGGCATTGTCCTGTTGAAACAACTCCCTCTGGCGATCAATGATTGGAAGGAGGTGTGGGCGTAGGATTTCGTCACAGTACCGTTGAGCTGTCAGGTTGCCCTGGATCATCACCAAATCACTTCTCCTACGGCAGGTGATCGCTCCCAACATCATAACACTGCCCCGGCCGTATCTGTCCACCTGGGGAACGCAAGCGTCGGCGAAACGTTCACGTCGACGTCTGTACACCCGCATTCTTCCATCGCTTCGTTCCAATAGAAATCGTGATTCATCACTGAACCAGATTCTACGCCAATTCGGTAGGTTCCACCTGAACGTTGGTGCACCATTGAACTCGATGTCGACGATGTTGTTGTCGAAGCACAGGGCCAACATAAGGTCTTCTGGCACGTAAACCAGCCTCTCTCAACCTGTTCCCGACGGTCTGTGCAGACAGCCTCCTCAATCCGGGTATTTGTCGAACGGTACTGGTCGCCGTAGCTGTTCGATGACGCAGGTGATGTACCCGGATGTAGCGATCCTGCGCCGCAGTGGTCGCTCGAGGTCGCCCACTACTAGGGGCATCTGCTACCGAATTCTGCCGGCGATATCTCTCCCAGAGCTGTGAAATGGTGCTTTGGTGAACATTCATGCGTCGGGCAACTGCACGTTGAGACTGGCCAGCTTCAAGCAAACCAATTGCGATATGACGGTTGGCCTCACTTAGACGTGGCAGTTTGCGTTCGTCAACAATATTCCAAATACAGTGAATAATCGACAGACAGCGATCAACCTTTTATACCCATCATTGAGACTATCTGATCCCCAACTTTCACGTGCATTGCATGTGAATTGTGTATTCTGTGACACTACACGCCGAAATTGAAAATCATGCTGTTAAATACGGGTATTTTACGGATGGTGCGTTTTGTTGTGATGTTTCAAAACATAAACACCATAGGACTCATAAACAGAGCAAAACCTTTTGTAAAATGAATCACGTTTTCATTCATTGCCACATGAAGTTGCTATTTTCATGATGCGTTTCTTTTTTTGGAGAATATAATTGTTTTATATCAGTCACCCAGTGTTTGTGTTCATTTCTATCATATAAAAGTATCATATTATAACATTTCTTTGGTAAGCGATAGGTTGGCATGTGTAATAACTTTATCCAATACCGAATTACTTTACAATAAGACTATATATATATATATATATATAAGAAGAAGTTTCTGAAATAATCACACGACACGGATCATCTCCAACATGTTTCACTTTTATCTTCAGGTATCTCCTGAAGATAAAAGTGAAACATGTTGGAGAAGATCCGTGTCGTGTGATTATTTCAGAAACTTCTTCTTATATATGTACTACTGTACGCTCGGTATTCTCATCCATTTCTTTATATATATATATATATATATATATATATATATATATATATATATATATATATATATATATATATAAAGGAAACCTGCCACAAAGATCATGATATTTGGAGTGTTTTGTTTAACACCAAAACACTTTTTACAGGCATACAAAAGTACTATTTCTAATTTTCCACCCCACATGGGTACAGTGTGTGAAGCCCATTTCTGGTGTCCCCCGCCGTGATATTGCTGGAATATTGCTAAAAGCGGCGTAAAACTAAAGTCAGTCAGTCAGTCTAATTTTCCAAGTGTATTCAATCCCCAAATTTCTGCGCCATATAAAAGAATAGGTTATATATTTTACGTCAAATATTTTGAAAACGAATTCATACTGAGATCACCAAGAATATGTATTTGTCTTAGGATTCCTAGAAGTACTTTCTGTGCCTGCACTGCTGCATAGTTTGCATACAAGGACCAGGATAATTGATTAATGAAGTATACACCAAGATATTTGTAAGAATTTGTAGTTTCAAGTTTATTTATAATACCATTTTTCTATTTTTAGCTAGTTTTCTACCATTTTTAAATACCGCTACTTTTGTTTTATCAAAGTTAACCGTAAGCTTGGACTGCTCACAAAAGTTTTCCAGTTCATATATTTGCCTTTGCAGGCCAATAATAGAACTTGATATTAAGACAATGTCGAGTCAGCGAAAAGCAACAGAAATAGGTTTCTGATACTCCATTTTTAACATTCTCATATATTTGTCTTCAGAGATTATTCATTTTAGGGCTATAAGTCCACCTGTGTTTAGAAGATTCCATAAAATTAGTTATTTATTTCCCCAGAGTCAAAAACTTTAGCAAAGTCAACAAATAACGCACAAACACCCCCTATAATATAAAGTTATCTCTGGACGATACTTTGTATTAATAATCTAAGTGACAATTTTACTGAAAATGCTGAGAAGTGTTATCCCTCTACAATTATTAACGTTGTTTAAGTCACCAGTTTTGTGCAAAGGAACTATTATTCCCATTGACCATTCTTTAGGAAAGTTACCCTTTTCAAGTATCAGGTTGAATAATGTATCTTGGCATGGGGTTAAAAGGTCAGCCGAATATTTAAACAATTCAGGTACACTTGGTCCTACAATGCAGTGTACATTGCTGTATCATCACGTACGCTTGGTCCTACAATGCAGTGTAATGTATGATCAAGTACACGTGGTCCTCCAATGCAGTGTACATCCATCCATCGTAATATTTGTATAGGGTCGATATCCAGCTCAGCTGCTAAAAGGCGCTTTGTTTTCCCTCGATCATTTGATGTCAAACTCAACGGCGCATCATATTTTCAATCTCAACTCCCTACGTCCTCGATAATCTCCAGGGTATACGTTCCGATAAAATCTCCACTAGCGTAACGTATACCCTGGAGATTATCAAGGATGAACTCCTTGGGGATCATGCAACGCTTGCAGCCATTAGGCGCACCATCAAGTTAATGTGGCTTTCCCATCCTTATGAGGTACCCATTCACAGCTGGTGGACTGAGACATATAGTCACAATACTATGACCAAGTTTACTGCACTTTGCTGTACCCGTACTAGGTGTTTGCACCACAGGTGCTATATCATCAAGTACACTTGAGTTTGTCACTTGGTAGTTAGCTATACGTGCAGTACCACTTTTGAAATAAACATGGCGACATACATGTACAGTACAACCAGAAATTATTGAGAATTTAAGATTGTAATTGTTTTTTGGTTTTTTCACTCATTACTCACGTATTAAATGTGAATAGTAGCAGAACATAACTCCAGATTCAAAGACAGGTGAACAGTTAGTATTTTGTCAAGTCACCATGGGCAGCAATGCAGGCTTCAATGCGGCGGGGCATACTACTGATCAAAGAAGTTAGAAGGTCGTGGTCCATGCTGTCCCAATATCGGACCATCTCTTCTTTCATTTCAGCAATATTTGTCAGATTTTTCTTATTGACGATTTCCTTCATAAGTCCCCAAACATTTTCTATTGGATTTAGGTCAGGGCTATAGCTTGGCCAATCTAATAATGTCATATTTTGGGTCCGAAACCAGGCCTGTGAATGCTTTGAACGATGTTTTGGGTCGTTGTCCTGCTGGAAAATCCAAAATTTCCATAGAACACGTGAGCAGATGGAAGTAAATGTCCCTCGAGAATATCTGTGTACCGCTCACTGTTCATATTCCCTTCAAATACACAGAGGGGCGTTGCCTCAAACACAGATATGCCACCCCACACGTTAAATTTCTGACTGTATTTGGGCGCTGATACAAAGGTTTTTCAGTATGTTTGGTCCAGAATTTCAGTGTATTAGGAAACAGCATTGTCGCAGTTAAAATTTCTATGCTATAAGCACCAGTTCAACCTTCGCTCCTTTTGTTCAGGTTTCATGGTCGGTGATGGAATTCCTCGACTTTTCTGCCACCCCACTGCATGCAGCTCAGTTCTAATTGTCTCCTTACAGACAGCCACAGTTCCTCTATCAATCATATCCAGCATTAAGTTTTCTAAACTCCTCCGTTTGTTGTTAGAAACAAGAATACTAAGCCGCCTCCTGTCACCGACAGTCAATTTTCTGGGCCTACCTGCGCCTCCCTGGTGCTCAGTGCCATATCCATTTGCAATATTTTTCAAAACACGATAAACTGTGGACAAAGGGATGCCTGTTCTACTTGAAATAACTTTACCTGGTCTGATGTCCTTGTTATAATTCTCTAAAATCAACTTCCTCTTCTCTAAATCATCCATACTGAGGATCACTGAAAATGTCGTCTGCTAGCAAGTAAACAAAGGGGCATAACTCTTCACAAACTAATGAAAAAGGATTAACGGAGGTGTCTCACATGAATGAAACCAAGCACTTGATAGCTGGTCAAGGTTGTTTATACTAGAAATTCACTTAAACATATTCCTAAAATTTTCAATAATTTCTGGTCATACTATAACAGTTAGCCCAGAGATAACAAACCCAAAATGTTGCAAATAGTAGTTTCAAGCATCAAAACTAGTGAGGTGAGGTGAAATTGGGTTTATCGTCGTGCTTGAGAATATTTCGCTCGATGCATGGAAAACAGGACATAAATACCTACTGAAGGCTGCCAATGAAATATGCCTGACGGAACCTGAATTTAAGTGCGACAATGCACCCGAAGAACATTTCTTTAGTGAAGCATTTACAAGTGAATGCTTTTAGCGTAAGAACGGAAAATCAACTGGTAGAGAAGCTATTGAGGTCTTATAATGCAACTCGTATTCACGGGAATTTCCTCAATAACTGTTTAACATGTGCTACAGGGGATCATCAATCATATTCCTGAATCAATACTGAAGCCCCACAATGTCCAACCGGGGTATAACTTTATCGTCTTTCTATGTACACGCTACATTGCAACATCCTACGAAACAAATTGACGTTATTGCTGATGGCCGCTACACAACCGGATTCATACAGTTTGCACATCGGTTTCTCGATTCATTCTTCTATTAAACAGTGAATCCATCTGATTATAAGTGTATTTTCACGACGGGTGCCATGTGTAAGTGACTACACAAGATATTCTGCTGTGTACACTGAACGGTTCCTCATCTCTTTTGTAAAAACACTACTTCGTATCTGTACATACGTCTCCCTACACTATCCTGTGCATCACTTGCTTGATAACGGTGTTAGAATCGCCGAAACGACGCTCCTCACAGTAATAAAGAAGTTGTTCATAAAAATATCTTATCCTCACAAAGAAACCCATGCCAGTGTCATCGAAAGACTACCTTCCCTTGATCGGCCTCTCTGCCATGTTAATAATAACATGGGCTTGTCCTATATATTCGTACTCACCAACAAAATATTATAATTAGTGACTGAGGACAATCGGTACAGATGACACTTTTTTCACCATGTCGGTGGGTCACAATCAAGAAGCGACCGCAGATATGTAAACTATCATATACTGGCCAAGCTAATGTTATTTGGAGGAGGTGGTCAGCATGAAACACAAGGAGAGCGGAAGGCGCTGAGAACTGATGCCACTCGTGGTGTGCAACCCTTTGGGGACATTCTGAGCACGTCACACAGATCACCCGATGACACAGCTTATCCACCGCACTTGAAGATGATTTCAATACACATGATACAAGACGAGTCGTTAAAATACATTTTATTCATAACAAAATACTCATAAAACACGTATGTACAAAGGATACTATATGCGTCCGTGAAGCAACAATTGTGTTTTGTCCAGCCGCCTGGGCCAATATTTAAACGTGTAAAAATGTATGCGCCCTTCTTGTATTCCAGAATTGATCTACATGAGTGCCTCTCCGAAAGGTCCCTTTAGTTACAGCAATGAGGCGATGTAGTTACGAAATGTAGTTTGCTCAACAATGAAAGGTATAGACACAACTCAATGTACAAGACAGCATAATCAAGATGGCTAAGACATCAGTACAAGACATCATGCAATGTACATGACCACAGGGTTACACACAAGACACCGTGCAAAGTACACTAGAACTGGTTTCGGAGGGATAGAGAACTGCCCATGGATCAGCTAATACGTCACAACATGTTGCAGAACATAAAATGTCCATGAATGATAGAAAATGGTAAATGTTTTAGTGAAAATAGTCTTATCGTCTTGGCATAATATTTGTGTCAACATTCTTGGTTAAAAAGTAATGCTTCAATTCCCATTTTCCGCCTATTGACAAATATCTACATGTATTTACAGAAAGGAAACATCACAAAATCTCCCTGATCTAATATTAAAGTTTAAACTGGTTGCGTTATTTATCAGATCTGTTACACACAATTTCGAGTCCACCTCAGCTGAATATTGATACCTATAAGGAACTGACATTGATTTTCTGTCCCCGTTTCTTCACCACACTATTAACCGCTACAATTCATATGCACTCTTTCACTGGCAACGTGGGTCACAGTTGTTGAAAGGGGGATATACGACTGATATGTAAAAAGTTCTGTAAATATGTTTTTTCAGTAAAATCTGAGGTAGTCATATGTCCATTTGTGGGATGCGTTCTGTCTTGGAAACTTGACCTTCATCTCACTGTTGCATGTTCCGGATGTAGTCAATCTCACGTGACATCTGACACAAAGCACATGGGCCGCAGAAGGTTGTCATGCAACAATCGTCCATTACAGTTCCCTGTGGGAAAAGATTAGCTTACTTTGTGAGACTATACAAGTGCCTTTGTACGAAGAATGGCAACATGGGCTTTGTTTTCAAGAGGAGGTGATATTTCGCAAAATCTGATGAATAAACGCTTCATCCATGTCAAATCAAGTACGTGGTCACAATGACATACCTGTATGTTCTGCTCGATCCGAAGCTTGGTCCTCAAGACGACGAGTGCCCCAGGAACACAGCAGGGGACACAGGCTGACTCCCCCAACTGCCCAGACACCTGGCAGGCCAAGGCGAGAGGACACACAGCCCCAAGCAGGCCTGTAAGCAGACGAGCCATTGCTGCAGATTTAGGGTTCATAACAATTCTAGTGACTGTCAGCATAAAACAACAGGACAATATGGATGATCTCACTGAACATGGATATTCAAAATGATTACTAGTATGCTGTATTGTATCGAATTATCAAACGAATACGACTGTTTTCCCTGGCTTGAAATAGTTAATATTATATATCACCATGCATCGATATTAGGACACACTTTGACTGACAACACTCATCACCGATGTGACTCACATGAGCCGATGTCATCGAAACATGAGCACAGGTCGGAGCTCCAGACTCGCGGTCCAATGTCCCTCATCATTGCGCCGGGCTGATGGACTATCACTGTGGTCTGGTTGACGGGGGGAGGGGGCCCGATTGGGTAGCCGCCTTGAACAGGCTGGATGTAGCGGACAGTACAATCAACCAGTCAGTAAAATTACACATGTATTGAACAAATCATAGTTACAAATTAAAATCGTTATAAGACAACAAGGACACAAACGAATAAGAACATACATGCACAATACTCCTGCTGGCACAACTTATGTATGGAATGGCCGGGGAAGGGTTGTTTCAACCAAATAATGGGGAGTGAAGTCACCAGAAAAAAAACAACTTACAGTTATCCTTTTCATAATCGGTATTTGTCCACGGTATTCTCTCTTGTTCGTGCCAGGTGTGAGGGGGTATACGGGTATATTTGTGAATGAATCCAAATACATGTTTAACTGAGACTGGGAGACTATGTAATATGTAGATCTGGATTGTCAAATGCAATTAAATCAACATGAATATACATTCTCCTGGTCAGACATCGCGTGTCCCTCATCTTCATCCCCAAATCAAGAGAGCAATTGTTGCCACACTTGCGAGACGCGCGAAAACGATTTGTAGCCCTGACCTACTGCAACACTAACAGACCACCTGATGACAACATTCATCACATACAATGGTTATCCAAAGAACCTTGTAGAAACCACCATAAAGAAAACACTACAAGATCAAGTTCAGCCTCCTCCGAAACCTTAACCATCTCCCATCCGCATCAACATCCCGAATGTTGGGCCCATCAGCCACCAAGTCAGCAGACTCCTAAAGAAAATGGCCAGCATTGACACCACTTTCTCGTCTGGCAAAGCCCTTAAAACTTTGCTATGTGCAAATGGTAAGGGGTGCAATCACGCAATATCCAACCCTAAAGGCTGTGTGTATAAACTGAAATGTGACTGTTGTGACATCTACATTGGTGAGACAGGCAGACCAGTAGCTACACGTGTGAAAGAACACAAAACTTCAGTGGACAAATTAGATCTGAAATTGACTGGGAAACTGAAGTCCTCGCAAAAAACATCAGTGACTGGCGGAAACGCAGGTTGATCGAAGCTATCTTCATCAAACGCACAAAACCAGCAATAAACAGGGATCAGGGGGTCTACCTCCCAAATGCATGGTACATAAAACAATAAGACAATACCCTACCCTCGTCACTGTTCCCATGTATAAAGCATAATTTCTATGTATACACTGCTATTACTTTACATTCTATACATTTATAAATACGTCTCTGTACATTTCTAAATCAATCAACAATTTTGTATAAGTATCTGCACAGTTCTAAATTGATCCATTAATTTTGCAGTAAACGACATCTTATATATTCATAATAACATGTATTCTTATTAGCCATGTCATCTGTATCTATTGACCACCACATGTATTGCGTCGTCATAGCATTGTGACGTCACGGCCAGAGTTAACAGTTACTGTTCAGTTTTACCTGATGATGGGGCCAGAACAAGCCCTGAAACGTTGCACTCGAGAATAAAAAGAAGATGTAACCCAGAAAAAATCTCTATGTTCATAATCAGAGGTTCAATATGTCCATTATTTGGTAGAACTAACAAAGCCATTCTGTATATAACAAATGAGTTCATGCATGAAATGCCTTTTATGTGCGACGTTCACCTGAGATGTAGTCACTGTCACTTGCCCAGGGGAGGTAACTGGCTGCTCCATCGTTGTCTTCTGAATGAAAGATTATGAAACAATTACAATTTCCTACAATCCACATGTATAAACAGATAGATCCGGTACAACCGCAAGGGCACTGATGACATCTGTCACTTTAATCACGATATCACTGTTTGGAGATGTGCCCCCTACCCACAAAGCGAAACTACTTGCAATGAGATGGGATCCGAGGAGACGCTGAATGAGGGACCTCAATATACTGTACACAGCATACCATGTATCAGTCCAACCAGAGACCCTCAGCGACAGGTAATGTTCACCCCGAATAAGATTGTGAAGTTTAGATTTAGTTGTTGAGCCAACAGTTACCGGTTTAAAGTAGTAAACAATCTCGACTTCCCTGACCAATCATAGCTTGCAGCCTACAGGCTGGCGAACCTCGGCGTAGCAACAAACGCGCTTTAATCAAGCCTATTGTCTTTCAAAGTCGGGTATATTACCCGAGGACGGTTGAGCGGCCTTCATCGCGAGAGGCACCATTTTAAACTATAATTGTACGAGTTCTTTGTGGAATAAAAAGTCTCCATGATTCCGGCATGTCGACGGGAACAGGGGAATGAAATACGCTTTCCTTTTTGATCTTACAATCGTGAGCGTCACAGCGGGATACTGATTTATTTTTATCGTTCTTTAACGGCGTGTTTTGTTTTTTCATGTTCAAAAACTCCTCAACGTGGCACTGACTAAACAGTTCTTATGCTCCTGCATTACCCTTACCTATTCATTGTAAAACCCACTGAAAGTACAATGCACTTTCATTACTGACTAAACAACAGTTGCTGTTCAGTTATCATGACAGAACAGAACACTGATCCCTCAAGTATGCTGGTAACATAACACTTCTCTCCTCACGCATGACATTAACGTTTTTCGCCACCAGCAACATAACCTTTAATTAAAAGTACTATACATGCAACGTCCAAGAGGTGTGGCTATTATGCCAGAATATATCTCGGCGACCTAGGCTCTTTCTCGTACGTGTTGACTTATAACCCACTTACATATAAGTATCATATCACAAATAAGCAGATCCTATGATTGACATATTAATCGTATCCGTGAGTTTAGTTTTACGCAGCACTCAGCAATATCCCAGCTATATGGCGGCGGTCTGTAAATAATCGAGTCTGGACCAGACAATCCAGTGATCAACAGCATGAGCAACGATCTGCGCAATTGGGAACCGATGACATGTGTCAACTACCCGATCCCGTTAGTCGCCTCTTACGATAAGCATGCATGGGTTACTGAAGATCAATATTCTTACCCGGACCTTCACGGTTTAATCGTACCAATAGAGATTGCATGCAGTGGGGTATTTCAGTTAGATTCTGCTATTTCATATAATCTGTCACCGTGTGTGTGTGTGTGAGACACTGACTGACATATCAGTCACACCATGTAAAAATAGACTGACGGTGTAGCTTCACATCAGTCACATCATGTAAATATATACTGACAGTATAGCTTCACATCAGTCACACCACGTACAAATATACTGACAGTATAGCTTCACATCAGTCACACCATGTAAAAATATATTCACGGCACACCCAAACATGTCACACCATGTAAATATATACTGACGGTATAGCTTCACATCAGTCACATCATGTAAAAATATACTGACGGTGTATCTTCACATCAGTCGCACCATGTAAAAATATACTCGTGGTATAGCTTCATATCAGTCACACCATGTAAAATTATACTGGTGGAATAGCTTCACATCAGTCACACTATGTAAAATGTACTGACGGTATAGCTTCACATCAGTCACATCATGTAAAAATAAACTGACGGTGTATCTTCACATCCATCAGTCGCACCATGTAAAAATAAACTAACGGTGTATCTTCACATCCATCAGTCACACCATGTAAAAATATACTGGCGGTATAGCTTCACATCAGTCACACCATGTAAAAATATACTGACAGTATAGCTTCACATCAGTCACACTATGTAAAATTATACTGACAGTATAGCTTCACATCAGTCACACCATGTAAAAATATACTGGCGGTATAGCTTGACATCAGTCACACCATGTAAAAATATACTGACAGTATAGCTTCACATCAGTCACACTATGTAAAATTATACTGACGGTATAGCTTCACATCAGTCACACCATGTAAAAAATATACTGGCGGTATAGCTTCACATCAGTCACACCATGTAAAATTATACTTACAGTATAGCTTCACATCAGTCACACTATGTAAAATTTACTGACGGTATAGCTTCACATCAGTCACACCATGTAAAATTTTACTGACGGTATAGCTTCACATCAGTCACACTATGTAAAATTATACTGACGGTATAGCTTCACATCAGTCACACCATGTAAAAAATATACTGGCGGTATAGCTTCACATCAGTCACACCATGTAAAATTATACTTACAGTATAGCTTCACATCAGTCACACTATGTAAAATTATACTGACAGTGTAGCTTCACATCAGTCACACCATGTAAAAAATATACTGACGGTATAGCTTCACATCAGTCACACCACGTAAAATTATACTGACAGTATAGCTTCACATGAGTCACACCATGTAAAAATATACTGACGGTATAGCTTCACATCAGTCACACCATGTAAAAATATACTGACGGTGTAGCTTCACATACTGGCAGTATAGCTTCACATCAGTCACACTATGTAAAATTTACTGACGGTATAGCTTCACATCAGTCACACCATGTACAATTTTACTGACAGTATAGCTTCACATCAGTCACACTATGTAAAATTATACTGACGGTATAGCTTCACATCAGTCACACTATGTAAAAAATATACTGACGGTGTAGCTTCACATCAGTCACACCATGTAAAAAATATACTGACGGTATAGCTTCACATCAGTCACACCACGTAAAATTATACTGACAGTATAGCTTCACATGAGTCACAACATGTAAAAATATACTGACAGTATAGCTTCACATCAGTCACACCATGTAAAAATATACTCATGGCACACCCAAACATGTCACACCACGTAAATATATACTGACGGTGTAGCTTCACATCAGTCACATCATGTAAAAATATACTGACGGTGTAGCTTCACATCAGTCACACCATGTAAAATTATACTGACAGTATAGCTTCACATCAGTCACACTATGTTAGAAATATACTGACGGTATAGCTTCACATTAGTCACACTATGTAAAATTTACTGACAGTATAGCTTCACATCAGTCACACCACGTAAAATTATACTGACGGTATAGCTTCACATCAGTCACACTATGTAAAATTATACTGACGGTATAGCTTCACATCATGCAGTCACAACTACACGAAGATACGGCACACCTGAACAGTCATATCGTGTTGATATATACAGACGTTTGTGTGCCTTTCAGTCACAACAACGTGCATGTAGACACTGACTGAAGGTTTTCTTGAATGTCAGTCACAACAACGTGCATGTAGACACTGACTGAAGGTTTTCTTGAATGTCAGTCACAACAACGTGCATGTAGACACTGACTGAAGGTTTTCTTGAATGTCAGTAACAACGACGTGTTGTATAGAATCATAGACACATTCAACTTTACATTTCAGGAAGTCAGCTATGTGAACACTACATAATACCGGTTGTAAGGTTGTCTTTATGTAAGATATGGCTTTACCAGGTGACCAACAAGCTGTTGCACGCATGTAGTTGGGTTACCCGGAGGTATTGTTCATTGTTGGTTGCCTATCACCTGCTGCATATCCACTGTTTAAAGATTGAAAGGTATTCTATAAACAGTAAAATACGTTAAGTTTAGGTGTTCACGATATATATAAGACCTAAAACACAGACAACATAATGCCACGTACCTTTAAGGCGCCTGCCTACTTACAAATTTGCGTCGAGCTATTCCTATTCCATTGTTCGAAACTAATTAATAGTATCGGCAACGTTGTCAAAGCCATTCGGTAATAAGAAACAAGTTATTGATTTACTTCCTGTAAAAACCCCTAAACAAACAATGACTAAATGAATTCTTATACTGTTTAATCGTCCTACCATTACATTTTCACGTCATAAAAGAGTCTGCAAAACGGGAACTCACAGACACAAACGTGATTTATGGTAACGATGATGTTGACAAATGCCGTGAAAGGAACCCGTGAATTATTAAGATCTGAGATAGAATTGGTCTTCAGCAACCCATGAATGTTTCAAGAGGCGGGATCGGGTGTTCAGGCTCGCTGATTTGGTTGACACACATCATCGCCTCTCAATTACGTGGACCGATGCTCATGATATTGACCACTCGACTGTCCGGTCCAGACTCGTTCATTTACAGACCGCCGCCATATAGCTGGAATACTGCTGAGTGCGGCGTTAAAAGACAAACAGAAACACCGTGGAGGGATAGGTGGATGAAGAACAAACTCTAAGTCTGAATCCCTGCTGGGATAATGAGATGATCATTTGTGACCACGTTGTGCTCCCTCTGTGTACAAAGACACTGTCAAGACATTCAAATCGTCTACGTGGAAGTTGTCATCATTTGCTCAGCGATCCTCAAAATGATATTGTCCAGTAATATGTAGGTCATATATGGCTACCCCCACCATCTCTTCTATAGCCATGCGCCCATATAACGTGGATAATCATTGAACATATTAAGAGTTTCTCTAAACAATCATGTCACACAATGGTCATGTAAAGGTAGTCTGAATCACAAGTCAGGTCTTAAAATAGAAAGTGACGCATTTTCCAAGAACTCGTGAAAACCTCTCCATGTTATGAATCTTCAAGATTGCACACATTCGTGTCCACACTGGTGAACATTATACTTGATACGTTACCGTACGGGTTTCGCCGTTTTCTTTGGTAATTCCATAACCCTGTTTAGCAAACGCCTCTGTTGTGTTTTGTTCCTCGTTCAAATAGCACATATATTATTATATATCTAATACATAGGCAATACCACTTCATATTCATTTACGTATCCTTCATGTATTTTACCCTTGTATATTATGTGGTGTGTATAATACCTTTTACATTGTGTACACAAGTCTCTCATAACTCTTACAGAGTGGTTCATGCATCATGTATCATGCCATTGTATGCTCATGTCCTGTTACATGTGTGATGACACTCAAATGAAGTATGTCTGTCTGTAAATAATCTATGTATTGCCAACCCAGTCTTCACCTGGCAGTCACAACACACAACACACTGCAGACGACTGAATTGAGGTATTTAACTTCCATTGAAGAGCAATTAATCGGCCGTATCGAGAAATTGCTGTTCGTCGAAGGGCGCACGTTAAACAACAACCATACAAACATGAACACATACAAAAGAGGTCGAGAAGACCCGGGCGACGGGTAGGCCTACGGTATATAGAGCGAGCAGGCTATGCCTTGTTGTCTTCTTGGGGGGAAACACTGGAGCACTCGTGGTCTTTTCGCGGGAAAGCTGCTGAATACCACTTTGTCAGGTATAATTTCAGAACCTGTTACACACTATACAGGGTCCTCATCACAATGTCAACCTACTATGACAATCATGCATGCTTTAACTAACCAAATTTTAAGGTAAAATACCCACCTTCCAAGCAGCCGTGCAAGTCTTTATTATTCCTGGTCACGTGATCTGTGGTATTTCTGAAAGCGGTATATTGCACCACTGAATCCGGAATATCTCAAACCGGTTTGATTGCACGTGTCATGTCGGCATTGTCACTCATTCAAAACATACGTTACGATTCTTAATGAATACCTCATACTGTCATTTACTAAGAGTAGTTTTAAAATGACAATATAATTATTGGATTTACATCCGTGCTACAGCAAAACCATGTTTTAGAGAACGAGGCAGAGGCTGCATGATGGGATGTTAACTTTTTCATTTCTGAAAACATTTACTAGTAATATATATACGCGTCCAACACTCTCGACGTGGACGCTTAATCATACTCTGGTTTCTTGTAGAAGAATTATATCAGGTGAAATTATGTTTTTTGTTAGCAGAGCTTTGAATTCGTTTTGACGGGCGTTTGTTTAGCCCGTTGCAGTTCCATTGAATACACTTACCAACATAACATATATAAATAAAAACATGAATGGAAGCAATAGTTTAAAGTGATGCTGTGTATGAATTTGATATACCATATTATCGTCTTCGGGGGTAATAGCCTGGTCTTTCAGCTCCTTGAAGGTTGGAGTGTGAGACAGTGATAGTTACTGCCTTCTTAAACTGAGTGTTTTGGTATATATTCTGAGTTGTTTTGCTAGTCTGAAGATTGTAAAGATATTTCCTTCCAAGATTTGTAGTTTAGACGGGGTGTGGATCTAAGTGCCACTTCCGTAATGAATTAACCAAAGTATTGACGTTAGGTTGATTGTAAGAGCTGTCATCTATTGTTTTGGTGCAGGTCATGTGACTGATTGCTTTGGTTTGATTTGAGTAGTTTAGTCGTCTTGCATCTTTAGATTTGTTTGTTTTTTTTCCGATTTTTTGTGGGTTTTATTTTGTTTTTCTTTGTAAGTGCTGGAAGCTGAGGTTTGAAATGTAACTGGTTGAGGTTTACCTTTATTTTGTGATTTCTCATGTTGTACCAGAGATTGTTCAAACTCAGAAAGAACTTTGATGGTTTGTTTTTCCCTGGAATCATTTAGCGAAAGATCCATTTTGGGTAGTACCTTATTACTGTTTGGAGTTGAGATCAATAGACTGATTGTGTCTATCTTGTGTATGGGTTTTATGATGGTTGTTGTTTGCCTGTTTAGTGTAATCGACAGACCAACTGATGATTTGTCTCATAATTTTGGACACCCGAATAAAAAAAGTTGTTTAACAAACGATCATTATTTTTTACGAGGGGAACCACTTGTTGGTAGAACAGGCAGGTGCCACCCACCCCCTCCGTCAAAAATAGCGAAAAGTGACCAAATAATAATGATCCTTCGTTTAACAACTTTTTTATTCGGGTGTCCAAAATTATGAGACAAATCACCTGAGTTGGTCTGGCGATTTCATGTGACTGTGCAAAATTTGGTTTGTTGCAATTATTAGATTTTGTGTTAGTGAGCAATTCATCGGTCTCAAATGAATTCAAACGGACTGTAGCTGCAGTTCGCATCCTCAAGCGGGGGCCCACCGTCATATCCAGAACAAAATAGATATGAGCACAGTGGGGTTGTACAACGTACTTCTACATCCGTAAAACATCGTCTAAATCTACCAATAAATAGCATGATATCTTCCTCATCACAATTGATATTTGCATAAGGATTCCAGATCGAGGAGACCGGTGGTGTTTTTTGAAGGGGTCATCGTTCTATTTTCCAAAACGTTTACGATCGATTCATGAATAAGATTGCACAAAACAAGGCTAAACGGGAATGTCTGCTATTTAAGAATGGTACTGTAACTAAAAGTTCAACCATTTAGAAAACAATACCTGGAACAGACTATATTTTATGATCTGAATAACTTTTTAAAACCTCTTTCGTGAGCACACACATGTACTCAATATAATGTATATGACAGACCAATTAAGTGGAAGTATTTTTTTTTTTTGTAGTATGAACAAAATATAACCTACTACACGACAGTACAAAGTTCCTTGATTACCGTACTTCACAGATCCTTTTCTACGTAATTTACGCCGTTATTTAACTATCACGACCGCCATATCAGAAACGCAAAGACAGCAAAATGATCAGGAAAGAAGCTTTAATTTCAAAACGAGCAACGCCATGTGGAACTTTAACACAAGACCGCAAACAAACCTTCGTAACTCTTAGTGGTCTGACAAGTAGCTGACACACAGATAATACAGTGGAGTCACTGAGCGATCACTATCATCTTACATAAATATATTGATTATTCAGTTGTAATTCCATATTTTTAAAACCCCTCATAACCACCATGTGCACAGTGCAAAGAAACTACATTTCTTGTAGTGTTCTGGAAATAAAACCAAGTCTTTGGCGAAGAGCGTCTTTCTGATTTTTCAGTGTTTCTTCCAATCTTATTGCATCTGAAATGAGCTGATCAAGCTGAGATACACAAAACGTCTCATAGTTTTCACAGTCCTCAAACGTTTCGGCAAATTGCTTAGTAACCATTCTTGCATCTGCAGACAACTCTTTAATGAGTTCAGAAACTTTCTCATTCTTTGTCAATTTGTCAACTTCACTGTCAGAATCTGAAGCCTTGTTGTATACCCCAACACAAGTGTTTTCTGAAGCGTTTGTGTCCTCCGATGAAATCACCGATTCATCATCATCGCGTCTCACATTATTACTTTCTCCGCCGATTTCATCAAAATCGGAATTCTGTCTACCTCTCCCTTCGGCTGGTATGTCCTGATTATTGCTTATAAGCTTTTCAAACCCAAAAGGCTTTGAGGGGAGCCCATATCGTATAGACGATTTCGGGATGTCTGGTGTGGTTGGATGAACGAATCCTTCTTCATCCACCTTTCGCTTTCGTGTTGAATTATTGTCCGTTTGATTCCCCTCTTCATCCAAAAATGACAACCCATTTCCCGAAATTTCATCGTCTCCAGATGGCAAGTTGAAGTTGTTCTGATTTTCATTCTCAAAATGGAACATTTTAGACGTAGCGTGTTCAGTTTTATCGAAGGCAGACGACAGGAAGTTGTAGTTGGTGATAAGAGTTACTTCCCCTGGGCAAGTAAGCTCTTGTGAAAGCTCCTCACCCCGTCAAGCACATAAACAGCCCCACCGCGTTATGCTCACTTCAATACCTTAACTGGAAGCATGGATTTTTTTATGAGCTTCTAAAGAAATGAAAATTAGCGACTGCCCAGATAGACATATTTTTCACCAACCCAGTCTAATTTTTATAAGAATAAATATTCGGAATTTAATACTTTGTTTTTTATTTACCGAATGCTTATTTCCATCATGGCTGCCTAAAAGCTATGGCATTTAAAATCAAACTAAGAACACCCAATTTCTAATGTTAAAGGGACACATAATTTTGGCAATGTTATCTATGCTGAACTTAAGAAGATATGTCTTTTGCATTGTTATCTAATTGAAAAAAGAATCGCATACATTACACTATGACATCCATATAAGAACACAACATGAGACACTACACAATGACAAACTGCCTTCTTTTTTGTGTAAAACCAATGAAGATACATTTTCTTAAAGCAAACTCAACAAGATACTTGAGATCAATAGTATTATCCATAATGGCAGCAAGCAATGAAGATATCTTAACATGAATAGATCTACTTTTGATTTAGAAAACATTGAGATAATCTCTGCACATTTTGAAGTGCTGCTACTGTTGGTTCTGGGGAAAACATTGTGCGAAATCAAACAATGCCAGTCATGGGATGTTGTGGAGAATATTGCTGGGCATCTGATGCTGCTCCCTGTGCCAAAATTAATCTCTAAGACATCAGACTGGTGGTTTGTGAGACAGCAGCTGGTATATTTTGCTTTCAGATAACTATTTTGTAATTACAGGTCTTAAGTCCTAGAGTGTCGTCAGACTTACAGGAGCTGTGAAGATCCGGGTTAGAATTGATTTTCAGTAACCCATGCTTGTTGAAAAAGGCTACTAAGGGGACTTGATTATTTACAGACCACCGCCATATAGTTGGAATATTGCTGACTGCGGTGTAAAACTCACTCAGACTTACAGGCGAACTATCACCAGATTCTCTTGAAGATGTTGATGATTATTTTTTAAAGCTTCTAGTCATTTGTTGTTGGGTTATCTGTGTCTTAAGGAAGAGCATAACAATATGTCATAACAGAATAATTACAATAGTGCTCTTTGCCAATTAGACTTGGAGCACAGCCACAGATGATACTTCAACTTTACAATGGTGTATGTATGAGAGAGAGTGAGTGAGTGACATCTTTGGAAACAGCACACATTCCAGTGATCATTCCAATGACCCATGGCACTAGAGTACAAAGACGCACCATAGACCAAGTCATGGAATCTGACTGCCCAATCCATTATGTCACCAATAAAAATCGACATGGTCATGTCCCATAATAATGCTTTGTTCAGCTATCTAAGGTCATTGTCACAATTTAAGTATTACCCAAACATACATTTTGAAATATTGCCTTGGGTTTTTTACTTCAGTCTATTGAGGAAAAGAATTGTATGCTTATGAGGTAAAATAAGGGTAAAAGTGTAACAAAAGATGGTACACTCTTCACATATACAATGGTTTCAGAGGATAAAATGTCAATGATTGATGTCAGACAGTGAACCATGGGACTTCAGCTCTGAAAAGATAAATGTATTTTGGACTAAATTTGAAATATACATGTATAATGGTTTCAAGATAAAATAGTTCATAAACCTGTGTGTGTCATTGATACCGAAATCCTGGCAAATCATACCAAACTGTGTAGCTTAAAACTATTTATACTTTCTGTCAATTATACGAATCCAGAAATGAGAAAATTTTGATCAAATGGCAAGAGACTGAGATAATGTAATCATTTAAAGTAATACTGGTCAACATATTGCTGGAACCTTCCCTTGCTCATTTTAAGGATTGCTGCAGTCACTGGAATTTGTTGATCAACCAGAAGTTTATATCTCTCCTGTAATGTATTGTTTCCAAAACCTAGTACTAGTGCATTATTCATAATGTCTGTTGTTTTCAATTCACAGACATTCAAGAGGAAGTCCAAATTTTGTTTCAATTTAGGTACATTGACAGTGAGGAGACGTCTGTACTGTTGGAGCATATAGTTTAAGCCCTCAGTGGTACACTCAAGACGTTTTACAACATACTCGGCCTTATCCCTGCAGTTAACCTCCCGAAGGATCTCTCGATCCACCAAAATGCTGTTAAGGCATTTTTGGAAGTCACCACTGTCTGACTGAAGTAGTGTCATGAAGGCTTTGGGGTAGTCAGGGTAGAACACTCCTTCCTTTTTCAAAATTGTCAACTGTTCTTCTAAAGTTTTATGAGAATTAATAAGAACATAAAGGCGTTCAAGTATTGCTTCACTTGGCACTCCATAATTCTTTAAGATCTGAATATTCCTCTTCAATGTGAGGAGCCTTGATTTTCTGAACCAGCCCCGGTCCTTGAGGGCAGCTGCAGCTTCTTCAGGTGAGCACTCTAACAAACTGCTTAACAAAGTTTCATGATCTTTCAACTCCAACTCAGCATCCCTATCAACCTGCAGTCTAGTCATGCGTGCATTGAACTTGCATGATGACAAGGTGACAAGACTCAGCTTTGGTTGCATTCCTGATCTCTGCATTGACTCCATGCGTTTTCCAAGTGTGGAAACACTGCATCTGAATACCATTGGGTAAGTGAACATTTCTTTTGCTGTGACTCCATGGGATGAAAGAAGCAAAGAACAAGACTGAAACTTGTCCCTGCTCATGGAGAAAATTTGAAAATTTGATCTCAAGAAATCTTCCATTACCTTCTGAGGTAGGTGAAAATGTTTTGACAAGAAGGAAGCCCTGTACTCCAGTTCAGACTGCTTAACTGACTCTGAATCAATCTGAGAGGATCCATTCGAACACTTCGGTAACAACCTGGGAGACTGTCTCATCAACTTTGGCAGGATAGTTAGGAAACTGTTAAGGGCTAGACATCTAAATCTCAGAGCATAGCTCATTTGTCTTGAAATGGCATCCATGGTTGCAGAGTCATTACCTATGGGTGACTTGCTGCATGATTGTCCATTGTCCTGTTGATGATAGATGACAGTCAGTCTGCAACAGAAATCAATTTTAGAAAGATATTTGTTCTAATGTGGGCCACATGCACCTTATGAAGATACTGAAGTCTGCAATTTGGTATCAGAGTGTGCCAACAACATGAATATTTCTATCAATAATACATTATGTGTTGAACCAACCTGATCCTTGACCCACAAGAAGGAGTCCACAAGCTAAGCAATTAGTCCTATGTTGGGATTGGAGGAATTCATTCCTTGGTGCCCCACTGTCTATGATATAATTTCACTGCCACACCAAGGTTAGAAATAAATATTGATCGACTGAGCTGTCATCTAACTAACAGTATAAATGCTAGTCCACAAGATGGTGTTACTCATTCTTCCTCAGTTTTACTTGCATCTGAACAGACAAATAATGAATGTAAAATGCTGTAAACTTTCTCAGTCAAAAGTGGAGTAAATCTGAGAAAAATATTTTGTATATCAACAGTAGCATATTTTCAAGACAGGCTGGTTGTGTGATCAAACCTTAATTCAAACACTTACTCCCATACAAGAAAATGTGAACATAAAACTGAGCCAAGTCTTTGTTTTCTTGATTCCATATGAAAACAGCAGAAAGGGAAAGGTTCTTTGGAAAAACAATTGTTATTATTAAAAATATATATTTATCAGACTAACTGTTAGTCTGGACAGTGTATACCCAGATCACCTAATTTTCCTGCCATACTCTCTCCCACATCACCAAATGAGCACAGAGAGTTTATCACCTAATATCTGTGATCATTGAAACCAAAAGTGTCTAACAGAAGCAGGCTAAGTTCTCAGGTAGGGTTGTCATTCTCCATCAATTCCTAAAACAACGTGTAACTAGCTCAACACAGTTTATGCGATCTCAAGATCATCTTGGAGCAATATACTGTAAATCATGAAATAAATGTGGAAATATAACTTCAGGAATTATGTTTACCTACAGCATCATTGGCGAATGTACTTGTGGCAGCATGAGTCATATCTCATCCATGAAACGGTCGACATGTTTACCCGTTTGAATGCAAGAACAAATGAATCAACAGAAAGAAAGAGACAATATTCTGGCGCTGCACAGGATCTGACTCCAAGGGTACTATCCAGACTCACATTACATCATAAATTACCATAAGGCCAGCATTGTGTGATGATCAATATACCCTGCCAGAACTAGGTGCAAGTAAGACAATTGTATTTGAGAGATGAATATTACCTACCACTTTTGTATTATACTGCCTCTGAATTTGTATTCCCACTCTATTTTGTTCTGTCATAGTGATAGTTATTGAGCAGGACTGAAGTTCATGAGGAATGTTCCGAGGACACAGTACTATACACAATGGGGCTACGGTACCAGGTCCCTCCCAAGGGCTCAATTTAAAAATTGAAGTCCCTAATCCCGTAGCCCCATTGTGTATATTACGACTGAGGTGCATGCAAAGTTTGATGAAAATCGGTCAAATAGTTTCGGAAATATTGACTTTTAAGTAGGCATGGGGTCGGTCGGGAAAAGGCAAAATGTCGTAACTTTTTGTCGTAATTAAGTCTTACTTAATCTCATGAAGTCATCGAGAGTGTTCCCAATGCCATTTTGCTATAGTGTAACCATCTGCCAAGATGCATGCAAAATTTCACGAAAATCTGTCAAATAGTTTAGGAAATGATCACTTTTTAGTGAGCATGAGGGTCGGTCTGGCGAAAGGTTAACAATCCAACGTATTGTCGTAATTGTTATATATTATCGAGGCGAGAGGTGTTTTTAGCTGAATGAAACGCAGGTCTCGGAAGTCATCACCTCGCTACCGTCTCGGGGGTTGCTTTGAGCGAGCGCTGTGGACGAGTATAAGTGTGTGTGTCTCTCTCGGCTCGGCTATGATGATGATGCACGACCGGCTGACTAGCGAGGCTACAGATGTCTGAAAGTGAATGAAACGCATCTCTCGGCAGTTGCTGTGGGCAAGTCGCAGTGTGTGGCTTGGCTCGGCTTGTACAGCCGACTGGCTGGCTGGCTGGCTGGCAACATTATGTTGATTTCCACTAAATCATACCGCATCTCGACTCACTGCCGTCTCGGTAGCATTGAGCGAGGGCTGTGGGTGAGTCGCAGTGTGTTTGTGTCTCAGCTCGACTATTTACCTACAGCTCGCTGAGATGGCTGGCTACGTTATGTTGATGTCCGCGAAACAGAATCTCCTATGATTTGTTTGGTTGTCGTAATGTAGGCTTGTTGGCCTGTTGCTTCCCTTGTTCTATGAAAATGTTTTTCTCATCTTCGCAAATGACGGCGTTTTTACGAGAATCTCGTTTCATTCTGTGATATTTTGCGATTTCTCTTCCTCAGAGATTTTAGAGTCGGTGAGCGTGGTGGAAATATGATCGTCTATCGTGTTTAACTTTGCTTCGGCTAGAATTCTAATTTTGTCGTGTATCAATGCTTTACGTTGCAGTCTGCGAGACACGTACTCAATGGTCAATCCCATCAACCCTACCACTCCGGCTGTTATTTTGATGCCTGCAGCCATGATGGTGGATAATAACCCGACACCTGCTACGCCTAATCCCATGCTGACTGAAACCAGAGGGCTGTCAACACCGTCCACGGAATTGACGGCCCTGTGATATTTTTTCTGTAATGCTGACCGCGTATCGCGTTCACGTTCTAGTTGTTGTTTGATCTCGCATATCTGTCGCAAACGAAACCCGTCTATGGTTTCCAGTGTTTTTGCTACTTCAACCACGACCGGGTACAGTCCCATTCTGTATATATACTCTTTTTTTATAAAATAGTATTTAATTGGTCCTCAGTCAATGTTTCATGAATATACTTTAAGCTGATGAGGTACAAGTTTTCATATATATAAATGGTCTTGAGTTCAATAAAATCCTTTTGAAATATCATAATATCTAGGTTTGCGGTGGGGGGGGTTTCCTGGTTGTATACAAATACGACAACGTTTTGTTGATGGCGATCACGCCAGCGTATTTTTAACCCATGCAGAAGGATTATATCTACTCTGGGGGCATCTCCAAGAAATACTTCGATAATAAGAGTAGAACCTTGTATCACACTGATCCACGAGTCCGGCACATATGTATATTTTAGTATAAATAACACTATTTTTTCTCATTGGGGACTGTTAGCTGTTTGATCTGGTAATGGCTTTACGCTCGTCCACGTTCTTCTTCCAGGATTAAACCTCCCAAGCAGTATCCCTTTTAGCGAGATGCCGGCATCATTATTATCCATGATAAGATAGGGGTAGGTCAGGACCAGGTGAATGATTCCATGATGACTTCTCGTCGTTTGTACACGTTGTCTTGTAAGCGCATGGCGTACAAGGTGTTTTCCTCGCCGGGCAGATCTAATCCCCTCGTGTCTCCAAGATCGGCTAGCGTTACGTTTGGATGATGATGGTTCATCTTGTTTATATATAATGTATTACGAAATGGTTTTCAATTGGTTATCGGTTAAGTCCTTAGACGTGCACTTCAAACCCATGAGATGTATATTGTCTAGTAGGAAAATTTCGGTGAACGATATCATGTCTTCCACGGTCACAGTGACTCCCCCTGCAGACTGGTGTAAGCGTTTACGTTCACCCGCATGTAAACGGAGCAAACTTGGTATTGTTGTTGTTTGGCCCAGCAGAGTTTGATCCCTTTCACGATTTCAACGACGTTACGCACCGACGGCGGTTCGCCGAGGTAGACTTGGATTTACAGCGTGGATTTCGCCGGCAGATTTTCCAGGATGTTTACCACGCTGTCGAATTCTGACACCATCTGCAATCCCGCGTTTTGCGTCCCGGGGTTGCTCGACAGCATGTAGGCTACTCTTTGCCTCAACGTGCTGACGATCACGCTGAGTCTTTGCGTAGGGACGTAAGCCACAAGAAGCGTTCCGTTATTCACAACTTTCGTCAGGTATTGATCTTTGTTGTCCGTGAAAACGTGGGGAGAGTCTAGCCTGCCGCGGAAGGCTGGGGTTATCGTCCATTCGTCCTCGTCGTTGTGGATGAAGTTGTACCGAGAGTTGTTGACCGCTCCTTCGGTATCGACGAAATCGCCTAGGTCGTTGCCACCTCCACCAGCGGCAGTAGAGGGCAGCAGTTCGACGAGTTTGTAAATTCTGTTTTTCAGTTGCAAGGCGTACAGTTTGCCGTCGATTCCGGGTTCGTCGAATCCGCGCGTGTCACCGAGGTCGGAGATCGCTATGTTGGCGCATTTTCTAACACGTGTTCCTGGACGATGAGACTCCATCATTGCTGTATGTGAAGCGTCGCGCTGAGATACCCTATACTTACGGGATTGTGTTTAACGGCTAAAACCGATATTTTCAATTCCGTGATGTTGCCTCGGATTAATTTCTTGTAATGACGCGATGAAAACGATTCGGTTCGGTCGTTGTACTTTTCCGTTTTTACCGGCACGGCTCTCAGCAGTGTTGAAGGTCATTCGCCTTGAACGTTGGTGGTCGTTTTTCCCCGTTGTTGGCTAACATGTCCGTGCCGTTCGAGTCGTTCATTTTGAGTTCGGCTCCCACGGGTTTGAAGATTTCTTCGTTGAGCGAGCACATGCTGTAGTAGTCATCCTTTATTTGGTTGCGGGCGTTATTGACGAACAGCCTGTTGTTTTTGCCGTTGATGTTGGTCCATTGCAGGTAGTAGGTGATATCGCAGAGCGCGACTTCGAGCTGACAGCACGTGTTATTGATCGTGTGCAGCAGTTGAATGGACTCGCTGCTTGTGATTCCCGGAAGCATCACGTACAAATTGAAAAAGTAGATATGAGTACTAAATTATAACAAGAAGACAAAGTCATCAATATCCCCCGCAATGGCAAAATACGCTTCATGATTATGTCTACGAGTTATGATTATGTCAAATATTTAGGTGTGTATATAGAAAGGTGGAAGGAGAGTATTGAAAGGTTTTTAAAGTTCTGCTCCGGAAAAGAGCACAACCACCAATTTCAGTCTAAGTCAAACTTGTTGCCATGGAAACGCCAAAAATATTTTATTCAGAATTCCAAAACTACCAAAAGGCACAAATACACCACCAGATCTATCTATGTGCCAAGTTTGGTGAAGAAATAGTGAACGGTTTTAGAGTTCTGCTCCGGAAAAGAACACAACCACCAATTTCAGTCTATGTCAAACTTGTTGCCATGGAAACGCCAAAAATATTTTATTCAGAATTCCAAAACTACCAAAAGGCACCAGTACACCACCAGATCTATCAATGTGCCAAGTCTGGTGAAGAAACATTGAACGGTTTTAGAGTTCTGCTCCGGAAAAGAGTCCTACCACCAATTTCAGGCTAAGTCAAACTTGTTGCCATGGAAACGCCAAAAATATTTTATTCAGAATTCCAAAACTACCAAAAGGCACCAGTTCACCACCAGATCTATCTATGTGCCAAGTTTGGTGAAGAAACATTGAACGGTTCTAGAGTTATGCTCCGGAAAAGACAAATGTGCACGGACGGACGGACGGACGCACGCACGCACGCACGCACGGACGGAGTCCATTTTAATACCCCCCGCAAAACGCTTTGCGGGGGATAAAAATTCAAATATGTACAAACCAGGAGTGTGTTATTCTAAAAGTGATAATATAAATCTACCTATCTCACGCAACCGAGTATTGTGGTCGATGCAAAGGATGGTTTACATTTCATCGTTCGGTTCATCGACGTGTTTAAAAATTACGGGTTTTCGGTCACGAATGTGAAAACAGTACACGCTTGGTTCCACAACCCAATGCAGTTCTGGCAGAATCAATTCAATTTCGCTCTGTGGTGCGCGACGACTGGGTGCGGCGTAACGTTGAACGACACTCATCGTGATGCGCTGAGACGGTCTGTATTCTCGTTTCACGTGTACTACCAGATCAGACGTATCCTGAAAAAATCAGCGCCCCGATTCCGCAGGCGTGGAATGCCGTAAACAATCCATACAATCGACGTGCGTAAGAACGCGTTTGCAGTGAATTCAAACTAGATCCGAAGACAGTTGATT